GTCCAGCATGCGCCAGGCCACGGAGGGGAAGCCGCCTGTGGGCAGGAGCCCTGGTAAGAAGGTAAATGTGCCCAATAGAAGGGAGGCAAGCACCCCCCGGGGTGCTATGTCCCCATTGATACAGAGACATGAACAGTGTCCCCTTTGCTCTGCACTACCCCCTCAGAGTGCCCAAGTTGGGCTCTCTGTTGCCGGCACCGTGCAGCTGCAGCCTGGCTGGGGAGCCATCTCTCACAGCACCCTGCCTTGCAACAGGTGCTCTCCATGCGAGAGCGGAAGGCCCTTGAGGACGACAGGGAGAAACTCTCTCACTACCTGATCCCTCTGCTACCTCAGCTGCTGGCTAAGGTAAATGGAGGGAGGAGGAGGGAATCTCCTGGAGGTGTGGCCTGGGACCAGGAGAGAGCCAGCTGCCCTTCCAGCCCCTGCTCTTCACCTGCAGCTGGGGAGGGATCCTGAATCTGACCTTTGCCCCTCCCTGGGCACTCTAGGCCTCATGATGCCGTTCCCAGTTAGGTGGCATGTTGGGGAAAGGCACAAGGGGGGGGCGTCTGCCCATCTATCTGCCTCCTTGATTGAGTGACACCCTCTTTGTTCCCCACAGTTCTCAGCTGATGGCGAGAAGGTGGCGCTTCTATTGCAGGCTCCACACTACTTCACCCTTAGCCTCTACAGCAGTGGGCGGTTGGAGAAGGTACAAGGATGGGGGGCTTAGGAATCCTGGCTCCCAGCCCCCCACTTCTCTCCCGGAGCCGGGGAGAGAACCCAGGAGTCTCGGCTCCAAAGTGACTAGTCCAGAGCAGGAGAGACCCAGGAGCTCTGGGTCCTGCAATGCCATGGGAACAGGTGCAGGTGGGGTGGGAGAGAGAGGACCCCGTTAGCTGCTCCCTGTGAGGTCCTGGCTGGGTTACATTGTGCTGTCTGGGGAGCCCCCAAAGTGATGCAGCAAGTGCTGGAGATCCCCTCCCCCCCCGGAGAGGGGACAGTGAGTCCCAGCCCTTGAGCCTTTCTCCTTCTGCAGTACCTGGGGATCCTCCCTTTTCCCGAGCCTATCTATCCCTCTGCTCTCCAAATGCCTGTCCCTACAGTACCTAGAGCAGCTGCTGGCTCAGCTGCGGGAGGTGGTGGAGAAGCATACAGGCCAGGAGGTGTTGGAGGCTGCCGCCCGGGCATTCTATGTGCTCTGCAACCCAGAATTCACCTTCTACAGCCGGGTGGACTTGGCCCGCAGCCGCCTTGTGGACATGCTGGCTGATAAGTTCCAGCAGGACCTGGTAGAGCTCTTGCAGGTACCCCCGGGTGAGGGTTGGGATCCCACGGGAAGGGGAGCTTGTGGGAGAGAATGGGGGTAATGACAGCCAGGCAGGGCAGTGTCAGGGCAACTCTCTAGGGGTGAGGAGCCATCAGGTGCTCAGGAACTGGGGTGTACGAGTGTGTGGCTGGAGAGCAGCCAGTGTTCCCAATCCCCAGGATTGGGCCCCCCCACTTTAGAACTGTCCGTAGTAGGGACCCTTCCAGGGGCTAAACCCCGAGGGGTCTCCCTCTTCCTCCAAAGTCAGCCACGTGACTTCACCGCCTCCCTAGGATCTGGGACCGCAGCCCCGCTTCCCCCACAAAACTCTGCTCAACGTGTTCCAGGGAGTCCCTGAAGGGAGCTTCACCCACCCTGCAGGGATTCCTGCCCCTTGTCTGGCATGTGCAGTGGCACGTGGTACTGCCACACAGCCAGGTTCATTCAGTAAGTGGAACACCACACAAGAAGCTTAGGGGAGTCTAGAGAGATGAAGGTTAGAACATCTTCTGCTGTGGGCAGTCCAGAGCTCAGCCAGGCTGGAGGGAACCTCTTGGTTCAAGCTCTCTCCATCCACACATCCAACCCCTGGGTCAGACTGCACACTGAGGGTGTGTCTAGACTACAGGGTTTTGTCGACAAAAGTGGACTTTTGTCGACAAAACTATACCTGCGTCTACACTGCTGCTGAGTTCTGTCAACGGCTGGGAACCTCATTCTACGAGGATTAACGCCTTTTGTCAACAGAGTTCTGTCGACAGAAGGCGTTATTGCATCTACACTGTCCTTTGTGTCTACACTATCATGTCGACAAAGTGGCTTGCTTTGTCGACAGAACTGGCTGTAGTCTAGACGCTCTTTGTCGACAGAAGCTTTGTCGACAGTATCTGTCGACAAAACTTCTGTTGACAAAAGCCTGTAGTCTAGACATATCTGAGAGCCCATCAGCCAAGGCTATTCCCTCCCCACCATCTGTTTGCTCTGGAGCTGGCAAATGCCCTTAGCCTCCTTTTGAGAGGCAGGGAAGCCCATCTCCTTGGGGTCCTCAGGATTGGACCTGCCATTGTGCTCTCCTTTGTGGTGGCCATTAAGCCCCATACAGTTATGGATACTCCCACCTTCTCTACTGGCCAAGAGAGAAACACCCCTTTTCTACTGTCACAGACTCACAGATTGTGCTCACACTTGGCCCATACGGTTCCTGGGGGAACTCCTTAAGTGTGACAGCTCCTCATGGGATCCATTCTGTCTCGGGGGTTAAGCCCCGCCACCTCCTGGGACTGTACCTCTCTGAGCCCCAGCATGCCTGTCTCTGCCGTGGGCCACCCTGGGGAATCTGCTTGTCCTGGGAGCAGGGTATATGGGGTGAGGGAGGTGCCAGGCTCTCGGGGCTGATCCCCACTGGCACTCCGAGTGCAGAAGGTGGGAGCCCGAAAGAACCTTAAAAAAAATACCTTGCCTCTACAGGCTCTGCTTCTAAAAACTCTCCAGAGTCACAGATTTGCTAACTTTGGGGGGTAGCTGCCACCATCAATTGATTTATCCCTAAAAATGGGGGAACACTTGAATTCTCTCCCAATTGAAAGCTCTTTTATCACAAAACAAGAGAAGAGAGAAACAAATTGCAGTCTGTGCTATTTCCTTCCAGGACACAAGAATCAAATCATCACCTTAAAGTGATTTTTATTACAAAACAAAAGCTATACTTGACAAAGCATAGTTGATTGATGGGTGTTACAGAGCAAGTAAGGAAAATAAATTAAAACACAGAGAAAAATCTCTGGAAACAATTCTTAGATGGTGAATGGGGAAGAGGAGGCATGGATTCACACAGAGCACTTCAAACCAAACCACAAAAATAAAGAAAAAATACCCTGATCCATTTTTCTCTATTTTTTTTACTCATGATTTCTTCTTGGTTCAGTCTATTTCCATGTCCGAAATTCCCTGGAGGCATGGTAGTCCTGCCTGGGTTTAAATCATTCTGTGTGTCTCAGTTCCTGGTTTAACTCTCCCACACAAAGAAAGCAGGCAAGGTATCTTACACAATTCAAATTTCAGCACTGTATTGGTTCTGGCTCCTTGCCAATGCCCTTGCTAGCTACCTGAGTTTAACCCCTTAGTCACTGGGTGCTGGCCAGCACTCCTCCTATCTATCACAGGGGCATTTGGGGTGAGTGGGAGGGACACTGGGGAAGTGCAGAGTAAGGGGTTGGTGTGGGTACCAGGAGCTCAGTGAGCAGAGGGGCTGTCAGGGCTGTTCCCCACTCTGGCACTTTGAGTGCAGAAGGTGAGGGCCTGCAAAAGACTTTGAAAATACCTTTCCTCTATCAGGTTCTGCTTAAAAACTCCCCAGCGTCACAGATTCCCTGACCTGAGATGGGATGCTGCCAGCATCCAAGTGCAAACCCCCTTTTTCTGAACCCAGGAAGACTCTTTGGGAACGTCTTCCCTTGGGGGTACCCTAGGCTCTCTTACCTTCCCTCAGGAGAGAGCTTGAAAACAAAGTGTAATTTCTAATAGCTGACCTCAGTCTCAAGTACATGCACACAGACCTCTCTGCTTTGTAAGACACAGAAATCAGATCATAGCCTTAAAAAAGATGATTTTATTAACAAAACAAAAAGACATGCTTTGTAACACCTGGCAATCAAGTATGCTTTACTGAGTAACTGAATAAACAGATTAAAACAGAGAATTGCTTCCCTGGGATTCAACAGTATGCAGAAGCAGGGCACATGGACTCAACACCAAGTTCACAAACCAGAAATTAAAAAAAAAAACAAAAAACCCAACCCTGATCACGTCTAGCTACACATTCCCTATCTACTCACATTTCTTGTTCCCAGGTTACGTCCTATGTAGAAATAAATATTGCTGCAGGAAGCCATATCCGGCTTCCAAGATCCATTCCATCATTTCTCTCCCAAAACCATACACAACTGCAGCAGGCACATCATTGCTTTCAATTTGAATCTCTCACTTTCTTCCCATTGGCTCTCCTGGCTCCCTGGCAGCACTTCCTAGATACCCATTGTTCTGGGTTGAACCCTTTAGTTACTGATTACTGGGATGTTTAGAAAAGGGTAGTACTCCTCCGATCCATCACAGGGGTGTACTGGACAGGAGAATAGACATGTGGGTGCCAAGGACTTGGGGAGCAGTGGGGCAAGTGGGGGCAACAGGTGCTCAGGGAAAAGTGTGGAGTATGGGACAGGTGGGAGCACCAGGTGCTTGGAGTATAGGATGGGTGGGGACACTTGGGGACCAGTGGAGAGTATGAGGTGGGTGGAGGCACTGAGCACCCAGAGAACTGTGGGGAGTACGGAGTGGATGGGGGAGCAGGTGTTCAGGGGCAGCGCTGAGCAAGGTGTTCTGGCCCCACAATGGCGGCAGGACTGATACTCATGCACTCACCCTGCTGAGATGTCTTGACCTGCGCAGGCCACATACCTGGATGAAGACGAGGTGTACAGCATGGCAGCCACACTGAAGCGCATTTCCATCCTCCACAAGTGAGTGCCAGCCTACATTCTCCCACTCTGTCAAGGCAACTGGTTCCTTCTCTTCCTGCTCCTGCCTGCCAAGGGAGCTGCCCTGGCTGTGCCGAGGGTGTGCTCACCCCCACCCTTGCTGCTTGCCCTGCCCTGCGGTGGGAGGCTCTGGCTTTCCTATCAGCGTGGCTCTCTCTCTGCAGTGCTCACGACCTGACCCCGTGGCAGCTGTATGAGCCCTGTAGCCTCCTGCTCCAGCGAGCTGTGGATACAGGCGAGATCCCCAAGCAGGTACTAAGGCCCAGTGGGGAGCCAGGCCCCTGGCCTCCCCACAGCTAGGGACCAGGGGGGTGGGCTGTGGGGAGGGAAGGCAGAAGCATCCGCATCCTCTCACTCTGGGCTCGCCTTCCAGGTGGTCATTCCCACCATGACCTGTCTCCACTTCAGCATCCTCTGGGAACTGTCTCGTGTCTCCGGCACCATCCCTGAACAGGTGAGGTCAGCGGGGAGGTGCCTGTTGAGAAGGGCAGGGCGGGTAATCAGCCCTGGTCTTGTCACTTGACACCCAGGGGCTCCTGCCACAGCCTCTCACAGCCTCCTCTGTTCCACCCAGAAGCAGCTGCTGGCTCTGAAACGCAAAGTTGCTTCCTTCTGCTCCCTCTGCCAGAGCTGCTTATCGGATGTGGACTCCAGTGTCCAAGAGCAGGTGAGAAGGGTGCCTGGGGGAGCAGTCTGTGATACAGGGATAGACAATCCAGTTTAATTGGTTACCTGGTTAAACATTAGGGGTGCGTCTAGCCTGGCAAGATTTTGCACAGAAGTGTCCTCTTTTGCGCAAAAACTTGCCAGCTGTCTTCACTGGCCACTTGAATTTGTGCAAGAGCACTGACGTTCTAATGTAAGAATTCAGTGCTTCTTGCGCAAATACTTTGACACTCCCGCTCAGGGATAAGCCCTGTTGCCCAAGAAGGCCAGTGTAGACAGTCACCTTAATTTTTTGCGCGAGAAAGCCCGATGGCTAAAATGGCCATCAGAGCTTTCTTGCGCAAAAGCGCGTCTATACTGGGCATGGATGCTTTTGCGCAAAAGCACTTTTTGCGCAAAAGCATCCGTGCCAATCTAGACGCTCTTTTGCGGAAATACTTTTAACGGAAAAACTTTTCCATTAAAAGTATTTCCGCAAAATCATGTCAGTCTAAACGCAGCCCTGGTGTAACTGGATAACCGATTAAAGGGGGGCAGATGGGACAACAGCCCTTGCCTGTAATGGGTCCTGTGGGGAGTGGGGAGCTGCTCCACTCCCTACTTGTTAACTGGAACCAGTTAGCCATTCATATCCCTATCCTGTAAGTCCCCCCAGCAGCACTGTTTACTAGGTTGCTCATGCTGTCTCTCTCTCTCCAGGCCTTTGTGCTGTTGAGTGACTTGCTGCTGCTCTTCAGCCCACAGTTGGCTCGAGGCAAGTGGGCGACATTGGAGCTGCTGGTGTACCGGCCCGAGGTCACACTGCAGTCTCAGATGGCCGGATTCCTTATGGACCACGTCTTCAGCCACACTGAACTGGCAGGCAGTGGTGTGTGCTTGCCCTGGGATCTGGGGGCAGGGAAGGCAGTGAAATGGATCTGTGGAACAAAAGCCAATCCCCTCCCCTATCCCTGCAGATGATGAGGACAGTGAGGGGAAGATTGAAAGGTTGCACCGACGACGGAACCTGCTTGCTGGGTTCTGCAAACTCATCATCTACAACGTGCTGGAACTCAATGCCGCCTCTGACGTCTTCAAGCACTATGTCAAGGTGGGCATCCATGGGGCCATTATCCCTGGGGTGGGCCCTGCCTCCAGTGTCTTGACTCTCATGGGATGGCAAAGCTGTTTCTACTTGGGGGTGGAGCTCTCTGACCTCCAGGGTGGCACCTTTTTCCTGGCAGCTAAGTTCCCTGTGAGCTGCGCAGCTGCGCGATCACACAATTATTTATTAAGCCCTGCTCAGAGACTCAGCACTTCTGTGCAGGCAGGAAGCCATCTGAGCAGCTTCAGACGGAGCTGCCTGCTTCAGATGGAGGAGCTTAGAGAGCAGGTAGGGAGGGGAGACGAGGAAGAGGAAAGGAGAGAATAAGTGGCTGGGGGGAGAGTTGTAGAGTAGGGGCATTTGGGGAGGGGAGGAGGGAGTAATTGGCTGGGAGGAGACAGAGGGGAGGGGAGTTTGGAAAGTCTGGTCTGCACCACGAGAGGAGGGGTGGGCAAAAAAGGGTCTGTGAGCTGGATCTGGCCTGCCAAGCCCTTTTGATCTGGCCCATGGCTACCCTGCTGCTGCCTTCCTGCCCCAAGGCCAATCAAGACCTGGGAACGAGGGAGTGTGAAGTTTCCTTCACCCCTGCCAGGAGTGCACAGTGCCTAGAGGGAAACGGACGGCAGTTCCCTCTAGGTGCCGTGCGCCCGACACAGCAGGGGCAGGGGCTGAAGGACTTTGCATGGTCCCCTCCCCCAGGCTCTGATTGGCCTGGAGGCAAGGGAGTGTGGGAAGTCTCCCCCTGCCAGGGGCTGGCCACTCCTAGAGGACACAGTCCCCTTTTGCCTAAGGCCTGACCTGTTCTGCCTGAGGCCTCACCCTCGTGGCCCGTGGCCACTGCCAAAATTGGTAAAGTGGCCCTCCTGCAAAAATTATTGCCCATCCCTGAAGTAGAGGCAGAAACTCAGCCCTCTTCTCAAGCTTCCTGGGCTGTGAAGTGTGGTGTGGAGGAAGCTGACTGCATGGGGTAGGTGGGGGAAAGGGCTGGGTGGGTGCTGGCAGGTGGAGGGGGGAATTTGTTAGTGCTCTGTCCTGGGATGAGGTGGGGACGGGTGGAGAGTTTTAGTGCTGTGCGTCCTGTCCTGATTCCTAGCTACACTGCTGGAGCCTGAAAGTCTGAGAAATAGGGTTTATGCCAACCCTGGGCTGGGTGGAGCAGATTGCACAGGGGTAGGTTGGGGGAAAGGAGGTGAGTGGGTGCTGGCATCTGTGCAGTGAGGTGGAGGTGGAGGTGGGTGGGGGAGGGAGGTGTTGGGTTGGGGTGGGGTGTCCCTGACTTGCTGCAGTCCTGATTGCAGTTCTGTGTCTCTGGGTTGGAGGGGGTGGGGAAGCTGCATGGGAAGAGTGCTAGGACATTTGTATTTTTACATTTCAAACCACGTTTACATGGGTGTTAATGGCTAAGAAAGAAAGATTCTTTTAACAGACTGTTTTGGAGTGTTGCGGAGATCTAAAACGCTGATTTTCATGATTTTTTACTAACTTGTGTTAATGCAATATACTATGTATGAATGAGTAAGGCCAGATCTTTGCTATGTGGTAGAGTTCTGGCTCTTATGAGTCAGAAGTAACAAGTTCTAGGTGTGATGCTAGTTGTTTTGTAGGATGAAACCTTATTTGCAAGCTCTTTGGAATGTGCTTCTGTCTATAAACACTGAAGCTAGATGTTAATTTGTTCTGGGGCTTCTACTTCTTGAGTTTGTGACGCACACAAAGTGAAAATTTCAAACCAGAATGTCTTTCCAGGTCTGTGTTTCACTTGGTCTTGTGTAGCATGGATCCTAAATATTCCCCTGAGAAACTGTCTAAGCCTGAGCGAATGCCTTTTACCTTTCCTGTGTCAGTAAATATTGCAATAGCATTTGCAAGGAGAGCATGACTATTTCTAGTTGACTCATAGATTCATTAGCATCTTAAAGTTGAGCTGTGTGTGGATAATATGCATTTTGATGTGTTTACTAGGTTGAGTTGTTAGAAAGGAGGATGATACATGTACTCCAAGAGTAGTGTTAATTTTCTTTTTATTTAATTTCATATTAAATATCATAAGCATTGTTCCTTGTTAACTCTCCCTTGTTTTAATATATTTTCTTCCTCATCTATGGACTGTTTAAAAAATATATGTAGGATTTTTGTTTGTATTGGTGCAGCACATCCACACACTAACTCAATATTGGTGTTTCACATAAGAAATTTCAACTTGCCCAAGGACAGAAAATGTTAGAGGGAACAGTGCTTGGCAGTCCCAGAACCTGACTCGTGAGCAGTGTCTGGTCACTGTACTGTGGCTACACCCTGCTCTGTCACCGCCTTGCCCTGCCATGGGGCACCATAGCTCTGACCTGGAGGAGGCTGGAGAGTGAGCCTACCCAGTCCTTGCTCCTGCAGTAGGCATTGGGATATGGGGTGTAATACCACTGGGGTCTGGCCTGGCCTGGCCTGTGCCACAACCCCTTGTGCCAGGCTGCAACACCCAGAGTGGGAAGCGGGGACCAGCTGTGCTTGACAAGTTGCAGCCCTGTTCATCCCTGGTGGGGTTCCCACCACTTTGCTCTCCCTCCCAGTTCTACAAGGACTATGGGGACATCATCAAGGAGACACTAAACCGGGCACGGCAGATCGACCGGGATGAATGGGCCCGCACCCTTCTTCTCAGCCTGCAGCAGGTACTGGGGAGGGGGCTGTTCTGGGGGAGCCCATAGGACTGCTTGGGGGGTAGAGGGGTCCTTGCCATTAACTCATACCCCTCTCTAGGTGTTGGGAGGCTCCTGGGTTGGCCCCGCTGGTATGTTCTGTGTAAGGAGATGGCTGGGTCATGAGGCTTGGGACTGCCACTCCCTGTGCAGCTGAGGACAGAGCTGCTGCTGCAGCAGGGTCCGGGTGCAGGCTTCAGCAAGACCTTCCTAGAGATCCGAGACCTGGCACGTCGCTTCTCCCTGCTCTTCGGCGTCCACCAGATGCACAACCGCCAGGCACTGGTTGCCCTGCACAAGTGAGACGGGGGGCAGAACAGAGCTGTGGGGAGTGTGCTGTGAGCCTGGCAGGCTCTAAGAATTGGTGAGGGGCAGCCCCTTACATAGGGCAGGATGCTTGGTGGGTTTGGGCCCTCCCCATCCTGCTCCCCATCTCTCTCTTCCTGACCAGGGCTGGGATCAAGTTTGCCTTTCAGGAGCCAGTGCCCTCTGGCTCAGAGCTGGGGCCCCTCAACCTACCCTTCCTGGAGGTGCTGAGCGAATTCTCCCCTCGCCTGCTGCACCCGGACAAGAAATTGCTGTGAGTGCCAAGGAAAAGTCCAACAGGGCTCTTAGGGCTGGGAGTGCAGAGGGTTGATGGCAGAGGGACACTGAGCTGTACGGATTAACCTGCCCTCCCCCTCCAGCATGTCCTACCTGGAGCAGACCTGCCAGGCCAAGTTCTCCCCGCCACTGCAGAGAGGGAAGTCCTGGCAGCCACTCTTGACCTATCGCCGCTCCCTGAGCCCCCTGGATAACACAGGCTCTGAAGTCAGCTGCAGTGCAGCCCCCCGGGCTCGGAGGAGACCCAAATCTGTCGCCAAAAGGAGGCGTCTGGATGGTGAGGGGCAAATGCTACGCACTTCTGCCGGCTAGGAATAGCAGGTGTCGTCAGCCCCTCAGGCAGGGTAACAGGCCTTACTCTGGCATCGTAGACAGTCCTTCGGGGACAGATGGGCTAGTTGGTCCTTTGCATCTAGCGGTGTTCATGTTACCCGGCTCCGTTCCACTAAGGCTCAGCCAGGACAACATGTGGAGCTGCTGCTGCCATGCATGCTGTAACAGGCAGTGGGTGAAACAGGAAAAGGAAGGCTGGGAGTTACAGACAAGGTTAAAGCGGGTTGATAGTAGGGATGTTAAAACTGGGTTAAATAGGTAACTGTGTAACTGGTGATCATTTCAGCAGTTGCATGCTGTAGGCTATGCAGTATAAAGCTTAAATAAGCTCTATGCTGCAGAGCCCACAGCAAAGCCTCCCTGGGAATGGGGCTGCCATCTCCTGCTGGCCCGGCTCCCTGGGAGGCAGATTTCTTGGCTCCCCGCTGAGTGTAACCGATACCGTTAACTGATAAGCATCGGCAGATTGGTTCAATGGCTATTGGACTACACTCAAATATCCCTACTTGACAGCTACACAGAGGAGTTCTGATCGTACATGTCAGAAGGTGCTGAAAGCTGCTGTAGTCTGCAAGCAGCTCTGGGGAACTCACACCTACAAACGCTTTGCCTCCAGCCTGGTGTCCTGAGCTACAAGCTCACATGCTGGGAAGAATCTCAGCGGGGTCCCTGTGTTAGTGTCTACAAAGCCTGGGAGCTCTGTGGCACCTTGGAGACTAGCAGATTTATGAGGGCATACGCTTTCATGGGTAAAACCCACTCGACTCCTCTGGTGAAGTGGGCTTTATCCACAAAAGCTTATGCCCTCATAAATCTGTTAGTCTCCAATGTGCCACAGGGCTCTCATTTCTGCTGGGAGGAGTCCCCCCTTCCTCTTGCTGCCAGTGCCACTGTCCCACAGCTATCTGCCTGGGATCGATGAGCCTTTCCGTTGGGGCAGGATGTACCTGGCTCAGCCCCAGCTCTAATGTTGGGTGATTCATGCAGTCACAGGCTCCTGCTGCACCCACCCAAGCATGGGACACAGATGATGCATGGAAGGTTAATGCAGGCAGCAGCTCGCAGGCATTTGACACTGTTGAGAGTACTAACACAGTGAGCCAGGCTACTCCGGTTTACATAGCAGAGTTCACTTGGGACATGGGCCTGTTGGCACATGGGCCTGTTGGCATGAGCTGGCACCTGATACGCTTGTGTTATGGGGGGCTGTCGGGTGGGGACTGAGGTGCACTAGCACACCTAGCAGGGTGTGGAAAGCCCAGGGCTGTGGGTCAGGATTGGGGGGCACCAGCAGAACCCAGGGATAGCAGGTGTGGGCTGGAGCACCTGAGTACAGGTGGGGTGAAAGGGCAGTGGGGTGACTCCAGGGCTGGGATTGGATTCACTAGGCATTCACTCCTGTTGCAGACTCCTCTGGGCAAGCTGATTCCAGCCTCCAGCTGAGCAGTCACCTGGAAACCCCAATGCTCACATCGACGGTGCTGAGAAGGGGGCACTCAGTGGAGCTGCAGGAGGAAGAGGGGTCTGAGTCAGACTTCGTGCAGAGGTGAGAATGGGAGGGGCAGGGCAGTGCCAGCGGGAATGGAGACAGTTTAACCTGCCCTGACTGTTGTCTCCTGTCCCTTGCAGCCAGCCCTGGTTTGGCTCCCAGCGGTCCCGAGAGTCGCCCTGCCAGCAGCAGCTACTTGGCCCCCAGAGAGGCTCACAAGCTGGGCTGGGCACCAGGATGGACCAGTGAGTAGCTGCAGGCCTGGTGGGAGGGGGAACCTCTCCCTCTCTGGGCCCCAGTCCCTTTGACCCAGCGTGTGTCCCCTAGACTCAGCCTGATGGAGGAGGAGGAGATGGTGATCCAGGAGGAGAGCAGTGAGGAGGAGGAATTCAAGGGCCTGGACACAGTGAGCAGAGCTGGGGCTGGAAGGGTCATTGGTGAGGGGTTGAGGCCCTGGGGGTCCCAACCTGGCTGGGGCAGGTTGCTAACATGCTAAGGCTGGGGGGTGACACTAAGATGAGCTGCTTCCAGTGGTATGTCTGGGGCATGGCTCTGCAGCCCCTTCTTCTGGTTGGCAGGAGGGGCTGGCCTAGGTTGGGGGGGCACAGAGGGCACTCAGGTGCTGGTGTTTGCCTCTCCAGCCGCTGATCCACCTGCACAGCCCCCAGGGTGAGCAGCTCCGGGACCTCTTTGACTCCACCATCCTTGGCATTGAGGTGAGTGCAGGGGAGCACATGACCATGCGGGGTCAAGGGAGCTGCAGACACTGTGCCGTGCGAACCTGTCATCTGCACTGAGGTGGGAGCCAAATCTCACTGTGGTCTCTCCCCCACAGGATCCCTGACATGGCTGGAGCAGATGGGCATGCAGCCCTCGCCCGGCGTGACCTTAGAGAATTATACACTGGGCAGTTGTTCAGTTATGTTTTCATTGTTTTCGGCTTAGGCCATGTTCCTAGTGGAGGTGGGCACCCTGGGGAGTCCAGCTCGCCCTGGACCCTGCTTTGTTGGTGCCCTGGTTAGAAGTTGTTACCGACGTTGGATGGTTAGTTCTACTCATAAATAAAATTGTTTATTGCTAGAGCCTCATGTGCAGGGAGGTGATTAGCGTGGGAGAGGGAAGCCCTAGGGATCTGTCATGGACTCCCAGGTCATGCCCACACTTGGCCTGTACAATCCCTGAAGGGAGCCGCCTTTGGTGTGGCAGTCCTTTCTCAGGGATCCACTCGGTATTGGGGATTAAACCAGTCCTCCTCCTGGGACTTCACTTTTCTGAACCTCCAGCACGCCTGTGTCCATGGACCTCCTTGGGAAGTCCACTCGATCTGAGGCCCCTGGCCTCCATTCCTACAGGGAGTAATGCAACCCAAGGCCAGTGACTTAGCCAGCGTCACACAGGAGAAATTATTGAGCACTGAACACAGCACAGGAACTCTCAGGCCTGTAGGCCTGGCCCCCCTCAGCCCAGCACGTCTGAGTCTCCCCTGCAGCCAGGTGGGCTCTGCCTGCTCCCCCTGCCCAGGCCAGCAGGCCCCTCCTTCCAGCCCAGCCCCCAAATCCCTCTCCAGCAGCCTGCTTCTGTCCAGGTAACCAGGGTCCCCTCTCTTCTCTGTATCTTCTCTCTTTCATCCTTTGTCCTCCCTCTCCAGGATGGGACCAGTTGGGCAGGTCACTGGGGTCTTCTCCCCATAGCCTATTGGCCTCCCATTGGCCAGACCCAGCTGTGCCATCTGAGCTGGGTCTCCCGGTCACCAGTTGCTGAGGGCTCCATTCTCCAAGCCACTGACTGGGGTCCCTAGTTCTCTGCTGCTCCCTGTAACATCAGACTCTCTCTTCCCTCCCCTCATTAAACCAGTAACACGTAAGAGTCACTGTGGGTTACATAGCGCACCCAGAGGTGGGGCTGGGCTCAGAGGCAGATGGCGTAGGAGTCGCTGTGGGTCACATAGCGCACTCAGAGGCGGATGGTGTAGGAGTCGCTGTGAGTCACGTAGCGCACCCAGCGGTGGGGCTGGGCTCAGAGGCAGATGGCGTAGGAGTCGCTGTGGGTCACATAGCGCACTCAGAGGCGGATGGTGTAGGAGTCGCTGTGAGTCACGTAGCGCACCCAGCGGTGGGGCTAGGCTCAGAGGCGGATGGCGTAGGAGTCGCTGCGGGTCACGTAGCGCGCCCAGCGGTGGGGCTGGGCTCAGAGGCAGATGGCGTAGGAGTCGCTGTGGGTCACATAGCGCACTCAGAGGCGGATGGTGTAGGAGTCGCTGTGAGTCGCGTAGCGCACCCAGCGGTGGGGCTAGGCTCAGAGGCGGATGGCGTAGGAGTCGCTGCGGGTCACGTAGCGCGCCCAGCGGTGGGGCTGGGCTCAGAGGCAGATGGCGTAGGAGTCGCTGTGGGTCACATAGCGCACTCAGAGGCGGATGGTGTAGGAGTCGCTGTGAGTCGCGTAGCGCACCCAGCGGTGGGGCTAGGCTCAGAGGCGGATGGCGTAGGAGTCGCTGCGGGTCACGTAGCGCGCCCAGCGGTGGGGCTGGGCTCAGAGGCAGATGGCGTAGGAGTCGCTGTGGGTCACATAGCGCACTCAGAGGCGGATGGTGTAGGAGTCGCTGTGAGTCGCGTAGCGCACCCAGCGGTGGGGCTAGGCTCAGAGGCGGATGGCGTAGGAGTCGCTGCGGGTCACGTAGCGCGCCCAGCGGTGGGGCTGGGCTCAGAGGCAGATGGCGTAGGAGTCGCTGTGGGTCACATAGCGCACTCAGAGGCGGATGGTGTAGGAGTCGCTGTGAGTCGCGTAGCGCACCCAGCGGTGGGGCTAGGCTCAGAGGCGGATGGCGTAGGAGTCGCTGCGGGTCACGTAGCGCGCCCAGCGGTGGGGCTGGGCTCAGAGGCAGATGGCGTAGGAGTCGCTGTGGGTCACATAGCGCACTCAGAGGCGGATGGTGTAGGAGTCGCTGTGAGTCGCGTAGCGCACCCAGCGGTGGGGCTAGGCTCAGAGGCGGATGGCGTAGGAGTCGCTGCGGGTCACGTAGCGCGCCCAGCGGTGGGGCTGGGCTCAGAGGCAGATGGCGTAGGAGTCGCTGTGGGTCACATAGCGCACTCAGAGGCGGATGGTGTAGGAGTCGCTGTGAGTCACGTAGCGCACCCAGCGGTGGGGCAGTGCAGGCGATGGGGCAGTAATGCGCAGGAAGCGGACCTGCAGGCCAGAGCAAGTGTGCATGGGCAGCTCAAAGGACATGTTCACTGGCCCCACCTCCAGGAGTGAGGCAGGGCTGAGCCCTGGAATTTCCAGCTGTAGGGATATGAGAGGGAGAGGTGTTACTGCCTAGGGCAGAGCATGGCAGGGGGGAAGTTGGCTTTCCTCAAACCTCACACAGGCAAGAGAGCCCCAGCCTGGTCTTTCATCCCCCAGCTCCACTGGCGAACTGTGCTGAGCTGCCCCTTGATTAATCGTGGAGGGCAGGGGCTGGCCTGCTCCTCTCCTAGTGCAGGGATATGTTGCTCTGTCCCTGCCCAGTGTGGCAGTGCATCTCAGCCACTAAGCTACCCTGCCCCAGGCCAGATTTACCTTGAAGAGGGCGGAGAGCTGGGAGCCACCCTGGAAGCGTGGGATCACCCAGCGGATGGCCTTTGTGCTGGGCTGCAGCTCTGCTGTCTGCTCAGGGCTGCTCAGCTCCTGGGACAGGCTGGGAGAGAGGAGAGGTGAGGCTGGCCCTTGGTCTGCCAGCTGCTGGGGAAAGGGCTGCCCCAAAGCTACCCCCTTTGTACTAGAAAGAAGCCTGCATCACCCACCTGATGACCCCCTTTGGCACTGGCAGCTGGACTCGCACGTTCAGGGCCTGGCTGGAGGCAAGAGCAAGCAGTGAAGAGGGGCCAGTAGGGCAGGGTGGACATGTGGCAGCATCTTTCCGGCCTGGGACCCCAGACTCAGAGCAGCGGGGATCAATAGAGGGCAGGGACCCATTTTGTACCTGAACCAGTGAGCATGTGGCTCCACCCCACTCCCAGGGGGTCTCTCCCCTTGTGGGGCTCCTACCTTTTGGGAGCCAGGTCACAGCGGAGCTTGAGGTAGACACAGAGCCTGCAGGGAGATGGGAACGGTGAGAGTCGGCAGCTGCTAGGACCGGGCTGAGAGGCTGCAGCCCTTACTCACCTGCCCAAGGGGTCTCGCTCCAGCATGGGGAAGAGGTGGAAGGGCAGGGCTGAGGGGATGTCGTCTGAGAGCTGGTACTGCATCACTGGAAGCTGGGGGAGCAGACAGTGGATTAGGCTTGTGGTATATCACCCTAGACAGCACCCGTCTGTTGGAATAAGCTTCACAATTTGCAGATTGCCTCGCTTATTCCAAGTCTAAATCGAAAGAGCTTTTTTTGAAATTTGAAACGAGGGTTATGGGGACACTGGAATAGCAGGTGCTTTTAAAAACGTGTCATTGCTGTTTCGGGATTCTGCTGGTATCCTGAAAGAGCAACGCAGTCCAGACATACCCCATCAGCTGGGGGAGCCGAGACAGGGTCAGGCAAATAGTGTCACTGGGAGCTGGGGAGAGAGGCTGTTAGTGTGTCACTCAAAGAGGTGAGGGAACAGGATCCTGGGGGAGCAGAGATGTAGCGTGACAGGGTGGATCAGGCCCCAAGGTCCCCTCCTGGAGGCCTTTTGGGGCAACGTATGGCAGAACCAAAAGGCAAGAAGCCAGGCAGCAGTTCATGTTTCTGGAGCCTTCAAGGTATGCTGACGGGGAGATTGGCTGGCTGAAAGAGCAGCAGCACTGCGGACAGCTCCGTGTGGAGAACTACTGAGGACTCTGAGATAAAGCCATGAGGGAAGGGCAGAGATGCTGCCTCCAGGAAGGAAACCCCTGGGGGCACCCTTCTCTCTGAGTGGGGAATAGACTCAGAGGAGCTCCACGGAGGGCACAGAGTTGGGCCCCGGTAGATGTGTATCCCAGAAGGGGTTTGTTGATTCATACACAGCGTGTGAGACTTGGCTAGAGGGCTGAGGCTTTTGAAATTGCAGAGTGCAGGTCGTGTACTCGGCCAGCTCGTGTTCGATGTGGTCAGGTTGGTGGAGCTGAAGGCACAGATGGATGGGGCCAGACTGGGCGTCCCATGGTCTTGCACCAGGAGCAGAGGCCCAGCTGCTATGCACAGGGCTCACCTCCCCTTGGCTGGGGTTGACCTTTAGGACACGGGCACTCTCAAACTCATCAAGCTTAACGGAGCTGTGGAAGGCGCATTCGTCCACGCGAACAGCGGTGCCGTAGCCTGCAGTGAGCAAAGGTCGGGGAGTCAGAATGAGGGGGCCCTGTGAGGCGGAATAGAGACTGGCAGTGGCTACTCACCTCGCAACTCCGACTTCCCCACACAGAACTCTTCTGTCAGCCCAATGCGCATCTCTACAGGGAGGGGAGAGAGTATTAAGGGACTCAGCCAGGGGAGAGCTGCCCAGGCCGGGGCCAGTCGCCGTTGCCCCCAGCCCTGCTTTCTCCCGCTCACAATGGGTATATCTACTCAGCAATGAAACACCAGGGTCTGGCCCACGTGAGCTGCTTCAGGCTGTGGGGCTGCAGCCATTACTCACCGGGACAGCTAGGCAAATAGCTCTTGAGGCGGATTTCTCCCTGGATGTCGACCTTCATGGGGGTACCCTGGGGAGAACATGGGGTGAGGCCCAGACAATGACACGGGTCGGAGCAGGTTCCCTTGGGAGGCGGTGCACGATGGGAGGGCTGCTCAGGCTCTGTGGTGGGGAAGCTGTGGGGCTAAATTTTGTGCCTTAGGGGGTTGAAGGGATCCCCGCCCTGGGCCTGGTTAGAAGCTCAGCCTTTGCTCTGACCCTGTAAATTGATGGAGGGGCTGTGTGTCAGGATGCAAAACCCCCAGCTCACACCTTCCCCTCTCTGACTCACATTGGCAGCAATGACGACTGTCAGCCTCTCCACTATGTCCAAAAACACCTCGTTCCTCGCACCCTGCAGGGAGATAGCCAGTGCTCATGTGACTGCTGCCAGCAGGCCCTCTCCATCCCAGACAGAGGGGCCCGCTCCATGCTAGAGCAGGAAGGGGGGGGACAACATACTGCTGGGGGTGTCTCACCTGGTCCCCATGGGGGGGCAGCACAGGGCGGCTGGTGGCTGAGCTCGGAGCCACTTTACTTTGCTGTGTCTCCGCACCAAACTGAAACCAAAGGGGAGAAGGTCGGAGTAGGGCCCAGGGATGGTGCCTTGATGGGCTCCCAGGGGTTGGGGTTGGGGATACTAGGTACCCCATGACCGGATCTCTCTCAGGGTAACATTTTCCCCAGAGGAGCCGATGGCTAAGGGGGCTGAGGGAATATGGGGGGGCGGGGAGGAATTTGGAGGGCTCGTGAGGCTGCTGCTATTCAGGGGTGCTGGGAGAGAGGAGATCTGAGAGGGATGGTGCCTTGATGGGCTCCCAGGGGTTGGGGTTGGGGATACTAGGTACCCCATGACCGGATCTCTCTCAGGGTAACATTTTCCCCAGAGGAGCCGATGGCTAAGGGGGCTGAGGGAATATGGGGGGGCGGGGAGGAATTTGGAGGGCTCGTGAGGCTGCTGCTATTCAGGGGTGCTGGGAGAGAGGAGATCTGAGCTTAGAGTGGCATCATCAGGCCATTCCATTGCCCAGGGGATGCAGTGGGGATCTGGGACTCACCAGGCTGTTGCTGCCTGGGAGAGCACAGTGGGAGGTGGGGACACGGGTGGGATTTGGGGGAGTTCTCTAGGCTGATGCTGCCTGGGAAGGTGCTGAAGGGGAGGAAACATGGGGGTGGGGGGAAATCTGGGGGGCCAAGTTCACCAGGCTGATGCTACCCAGGGGCCCAGATCCAGGAAAAGCTGCCCACAGGACACTGGGAGATTTGGTGACGGAGCTCACCAAGTTGACACTGCCCAAAGAGTGCTGGTGGGAAGGAGACATGGGATGGTTCAGGGGCTAGATTCGCTAAGCCAACACTGCCCAGGCAGCACTGGGGGAGCAGGGGATTTGGGGACGTTCACTGGGCGAGCATGGTGTTTTTAAGGGGCTCACAGGTCAGATGTTGCCTGGACACTGGGGGGGAACTGGACTCACCAGGCCGACCGTGGGAGGGGGGGGAAAACTGGACTCACCAGGCCAACACTGCCCAGGTCCAGCAGGCTGAAGGCCTTGCTGAGCACTGGCTCCATCTGGATGAAGTTGCGCAATACATCAGGTGCTGTGGTCTGGACATAGCCATAGTCCTATGGGGGGAGAGTACAGAGTGAGGGGGAGAGCCCACCTGTGCCCCTGCCACTGGCACAGGAGATTAGAGCTGCAAGCTTCCCTGCAGCAGTGCCCCAGGTAAGGTGCTCCTCAGCAGTGCTTGCCTACCAGCATTTCGTCCAACATCTCATAGATGAGGGCGAAGTTGAGGCTAATGGTTTTCTCACTGAGAGCACCACAATAATCATGGATCAGCGTCACCAGCCTGTGGGAAAGGAGAGAGACAGGTGAGGGCAGGGTTGGCTCAGTGCATCCCCTCCCGCTGTGTGTCCCCATCCTCTGAGCTCCACCATATCCCTGTCTACCCCCTGTGCCCTGGGGTTACACCTGCCCCTCTCACCGGTTGAGAAACTCAATGATGGTGAAAGGGGAGATATTGTGCCCTGTCGTAGCCACGAAGTAGAGGCCGGCGTGACGCACGTGGACGAAGTGCAGCCCCTCATGCACCTGTAGCGGAAACACAAGCAGAGTTATATGGACCCTCTCCCTCACCAGGGGGTACCCCTCTCTCCCACATACTTGCCCAGATGCTCTCCACTTCTGTTATCGTAGAGATGCTTCATCCCTATAGTGATGCCCCCACATTACTGCAGAGCTGTGGAACCCACCCCTTTACCATAAAGACAGGTGCCTGGTCCCTAGGCAGGGCTGTGATCTTCCTATAGAAAGTGTCCGTCAGGTCCATGCTGCTCCCTGCTGCCTCACCACGCACTGGGAGGGGGTTAAAGAGAAATCATCCCATCTGGGCAGTATGGTTGAGAGCTCCCCCTCCCCCCGTAGTGCCCAGTTAGAAAGCCAGATGTGGAGGTGGTGCCCAGTTGGGGTTCCCCCGGGGGCCAAGATGATCTGCATGGGACACTTGAGGAGCTATGCAAGGGGGCATTTGGAAGGGGGAGGTCTAGGGGGCTATATCAGGGTATTTGGGGAGATGGCCTTGGAGGGGTCCAGAGCACTAGAGGCAGGAGGATTTGGTGTAGGGATGTTAGATGTTTAATAACCATGTAACCACACCAAATCTTGGTGGTTACACAATTATTCGATAGTCCCTGGAGTGCAGCCAGTGTGCTTCTGGTCCCACTCCCAGGGAGCTCCCTGCCACTCCATGCTGCTGCCTCTGTGTTTGTGGGAGGCAGCAAGAGGGCAAGGCAGCTCCACGAAGCCAGCACATGCAGGGAGCTTAAAAGGCAGCCCCCTGTGCATATCGGCTCTCGCTTCACCTTGGGGTGTGGGGCGGGGGGTTCTATGGGATCCAGATCGAAAGAGGGCAAGCGGGGGGAGGGTGTGTAGTTGTTAGGACTTACCGATAAAGCCAGGCTTATCGGTTAATCGCTTACACAACTGTATGCTAACATCCCTCATTTGGGGAGCTGGGGGACGTGGAGGAGTCCGGGGTGCTAGGACGGTGTTTGGGGAGCCCGCAGGGCAGGGTAGGATACGGTCCTTGTAGACGAGTCTGTCTCCCTTGGAGGAGAGAATGAAAATCTGAGACAGCATCTCGGAGGCCTGGGGTGGGGGGAAAGAGAGCGTGAGTGGGGCCCTGCCCTGAAACCTGGCCCCGCCCCCTCCCGGAAACCCCGTCCCCTGCCCGACACCCTCCGCCCCTGCCAGGAAACCCCGCTCTCATTTCGAATCCCAGCCCCTGCTACCGGCTCACCCTGCGCCCCCCGCCCATTACCTCCCTC